AGTCGGCTAATACAGACCATGTGGTAATAGCCCACCTCCTTCCCGAGGTGCGTATAGTATTTTTTGTCAAATTTGTGCAGAATGTTCGTCACTTTGACTATTTGTTTAATTGATTGAGCGTCCGTGTTAGATCTATTGAAATACACATTAAATTTAAATTTTAGAAATGAATGGTTTATAACAATAATACAAATAACAAAAAAAATATTGATATAAGTATAGTAATTAAACATTAATGTTGTAATAAATTACAAATTGTGCGAATAATCTTTTAATTTATTATTATGTTTTTCTGAGTGAATTTGAAATGTGTGCAAACGAAGCTGGATTACATACCGGCAATATAATCGTAATTGTCCCTAACTTACATTCTTTTTCCGCTTTAAACAACGCTTTTGAATAGTTTATTAAATAAACATAGTAACACTAATATAAACTTTTCATAAGGTTTATATATGTTAAAGTAATTATTTACGTCTTTTTTCTTATTTCTACGTTTAAAAAATAATACATTGAACAATTGACCTCAAGTTGGACGTCAAATCAACGTTACATTCCATAAAGCGGAGTTCTTCATTATATGACGCGCGCTTGTCATCCGTCAGGGTTTCCCGCGATTATTCCCAGGCGGTGTTTTTAAAATACAATAAAATACTTAAAATACTTCAATACTTTTTCTTTTTACATGAAAAACGCTTGTTATAATCTATGTATTATAAATTATGATTTCTGCCTACAATTTTGGTAAGCTTCAAAATTATGTCACGTCTGGCAACATTGTGTTTAGACAATCGTTGTTCTGTTAAAACGCATGCTTAAGTATCGCGCATGCTCATAAAATATAAATTTCTTTTCGTACGCATGGAAAAGAGCTACTTTCGTTTACGTATACAGGATAGGAAAGTCAAACTTTCTGCGGAGGTATGACAAAAAAATTATTTCCAGATATACAGGGTGCTGCATAAGTTTCCTGGGAACCATACACATTCAAGTTTTTTTTTTTATTAAAATCCTGTGTATTTTCATTTGTAGATTGCCCTTTTTTGGCCACTAACCTGATATAAGATTGCTTAGGGTATATAATTCAAAATTTAGAGTTATTTCAATAAATAAATAAGAGGTCCATTTCACACCCTGTATCCCTTTTTAATGTCAGCTATATTCATTTCATTACGGAACAACTTTCAAATGAATTCTGACTAAAATTTCTCTGGGCACTACATGAAACATTTTGAAATAATTGAATAAATAAATAAAAATAGTTGGTTTCTGTTTCACAAATATATTATGAAATATTTCTTTATTTAATGTAGTAAATTATTTGCAGATTTTATTAAAGCATTCTATATGCCTACATTAGATCAGAAAAACAAAACTTGAATTTTTTAGATATAACTATCACTCACAATCTAGATAATTATGCAATAAGAGAATAATGGCCGATAGCACTAATAAAATTAAAAATCATAACGGCCAATAACCATCATTATCATTATAACCGCAAGAAAATGCCAGGAAAGTACATTCCAACAACATAATCAACGTCATTCTAACGACCTGCTTTGTATCATCATCATCATCATATTTCTTATTGACTTTCATAGAGTCCTCTGTTCTCCTATTTTTTTTAATGCCTCTTCATTTCTAACCTTCTCTATCCACGGTACCCTCATCATTCTCCTGTAACATCACATTTCGAACGCTTCTAATCTTTTCTATTCCGCCGCGCCAACTGTCCTAGTTTCGCACCAGTACAGCGCCGTGCTACAAACATACACTTTAACAATCTTTTTTGAATTTATAAATTAAACGTTCGCAAGCATAGAAGTGATTTCTTTTTATTCCTCTGCTTTATATCCCTACTACTCCTTCCGTCCTGATTTATCTGACTTCCTAGGTACCTCAAATCTTATTTGACCCCCCATAGGGCAGAAGCTGGGTACGCCCATGGCTAAATCATCTGCAAATCTAAGCATACTAATCTTCTGCCCCTGTATGTCTATCCCTACAGTTGTACTGTCTTTAATGATGTTGATCGCGTCTTCGATGTATAGATTAAAGAGTAGCGGTGACAGTGTGCATCCCTGTCTGACTCCCTTCCTAATATTTACTTCTCTACGTTCCAGCCCCATCTCTATAACTGCCTTTTGCTCTTTATACAAATTAGGTAACTATACTTCGTTTAGTTTCTGTAGCGATGTGACCTTTAGTTTGACCGGCGCAAAGTAGAAAAGAACAGCACTAGACCAGAAAAGGAAGGAGACAACTCTCGGCCAAACTCTTAACCGGTGAGGAACGTATAATCCGTACTATACTGCACAGAAAAATTGACCATTTTATCCACTACAATTGCACTGCTCAAATGTCATGTTATTGGTACCATTTACTACTGAAAATATCAAGGAAATGTTTATTTATATTTGAAGACATATTAAAGGCTTTAATGCTTGTTTTCAACTCGCACTACTATTCATGATTGAACAAAACTTTTGGCAGGTACGTTTTCTATCGTTTGGCTTATTTCAACTAGGTGTATACTACGTAGCCAATTCATGTCCAGGGCCGGCTTCGGATTATAACTTGTTTCTTTTACATTTTACTTTTGTCTCAATCACGCTGCTGGACTCAGCATGCGATTCCCTATTGCATCTAGTTGACACCTTCCAAAGCTTGCTACTTATTTCAGAAACATCCTGTATACCCCACCGGTTGCATCTACTGAAGACTACATCGAACTCCATTGAGTCAATCCTGCAGAATCATCAAGATGATTAACTTTCTCATATTAGGTGATTTTAATATACCAGACATAATTTGGAGCAATAATTTTCTATAATGTAATCTAAGTGGGTATCCATTTCCCTTACAGTATCTCAAGGCGTCAGTGATCAGAGAATCCTTTTCGTACTTGGCCTGGATCATTCAGTTATCTATTCATTTAAATGTTATACTCTAGACCCTTCTTTCACTAATATTCCTATCATTACTGTATCTTCTCCGCTTGACATCCTTTCTAACTTTAATCAACGTCATCTTCCACTTGCCATCTCACTCTCCATATCTACTGCTTTCTTAGCTTTTTTACGATTATCGTCATTCGACTATAGCTGCAATCACTTTGTGTTTTAACCGAATTTCCTGAGATAAAGCTTACCTCTATAGTACAGAAGATTAAGACATAATTTTCCGTCACGGTTTTATACTGATATTACCGCCGCTGTTGATAAAAAAAAGAGGCAGGCCCACTCTCTATTCCGTTTCTCCGGTAATTTAGGTGAATCTATCGAAGTTAAGCGCATTCGAGCGTGTTTATATTAGGCTTTATAAGTTGTCCTAATACTTCCCAAATATACAAGATGTGACGTTTATCATCAATATTTAAACCACTGGTTCCTAGTGATATTTGGAATATAAAGTGTAAATGCATTTTACTTTTAACTTTTAAAAATTAAAAAAATATAATTGTTTTGAAGCTGGCCCTGGCGAACTACAAATAGTTGCAGCGTGCAGATATGAATATATCGATCGTACAAAAATTCAGTGTCAGTAGGTCGGAATCCCTTGTCTGTTGTCCGTTTGATGTTAGTTAATAGTTAATCTTTACTTTGTATAAAGTAGTGTTAAGGTGTTAATTATGCATGTTTCGTTAAAAGTGAAGAGGATGTTATACGAAATAAGTATCGAAGTTTTAAAATCGACATAAATCCTGTATTCATAACAAATATCAAATTTTATCGTACTATAACAGAAGGTAGTAGAACAGGTAGTCTATTAGATACAGGCCCGTATTTAAACAAATTATTGTCACGTATTTAAACCTTTTTTGAACTTATACTACTTTTATTTAACTATTTTTTGTCTAATTAACACTTCTATTATTTTTAAGTTGTTAATTCACCACTATAAACATTTTGTTACTTCTTCACTACATCTATAGAATATTTAGGATTCTCAATAATTGAACTAACTCGATTGATAAATTTAAAATAGTGACAATATACAAGCTCTGCAACATACAAAAGCACAACTGGAACGTGGCCATGTAAATAACATGTTGTTTTTTTACTTTCGCTAAACTTGCTAGAAGCTGGAATGCTTTAGATAATGACTTGAGATCAGTTACGAGTCTACCTGAATTTAAAAGAAAAGTCAGAAATTTAATCTTGCAATATTTTTTAATTTAATAGATGCGCTTTATTTTGTACTACTTTAATTTACCCATTACTGTAATGTTCCAAAATTTATTTCTGTTTTGATGGTTTGGAGCACAAGATTTTATTTAATTTTTGTTATGCCTACTACAACTTGCCTAATTAGATTTAACCTTATATTTTTGTTTTTGTTTCCCTCTCTCTGCAATTGGAAAGGATCATATCAATTTATTATTAATGACCAACCAATAATAATAATAAAGTGTATTAGGTAATTGGAAAGCAGAATGTTTCCATAACAAAATGATTATAGCTGACACAGGAAACAACATAGGTACTTGATGTACAAGACGATAAGTTTTCATTAGGCATGGACCTCAACAATCTTGTATGGGGTAAGTGGTCCAAGCAAAGAAATTCATAAAATTAAACAATATACATTTTGTTAAAGATAATGTGTGCTTCGTGGCAAACTCATGTAACACTCGGTATTCTCTGAAACAATGCTAGTCTGTAGTAGGTACTCATTACTCCCTTCAACTTTTTTATTAAACCTTTTTTCTACCTCCTATAAGTATAGAGCTATTGTACCTGAGCGCAGTGTTGGACAACCTGTACATCGTTCTCATCAAGAAAAGATAATATATATTAATCTAAAAAAAACATCGCCTTACACTTTCTAATAATTACATCCTGATATGATATTAAAATGAGTACTTTTATTCTTATCATTATCAGATTATTACTTCGGTTAATGTAAATGATTAAATCATTTTTCTCTAATATTACGATTAATGGATAATAGAGTTTAATAATGCATGAGATGAAAAGCTTGCATTTGAAATTTACCTTTTCCCTACTCAGTGCACGATAAGGCGGTACTTTATCTACCTAGTAACAAACAAAGTAATAAAATACGTTATTCTTAGCGTCAATTATATACAAATGACAAAACTGTTGAGTAGAAATCTGTAATTTCTACTTACTTGTTGCTTTAAATCAATGTGCTCTTTCTGGGCTTCTGTTTTAAGTTTTTCTCCTGCCCTGCATAGATCTTCAACTAACTGCATTAGTCTGTTACAATCAGGAGAATCTTCACCGAGTACAGCTCTTGCCTTTTCTTGAACTTCGTTAAATGATACTACCTCCTCGCCTAAAAAAAAAATATTTTTACAAGTGAACTTCTGATAGAAAAATCGAGACGATAATTATAATTATTTAATATTTATTGTAATCAGAGTTACGGTAGGGGAGGCTGGAGCAAAATAGGATATTTAAGAGAAACATCGTTATTGAAAAAAATATATACTGTTTGATAGAATACCTTTTACTCACATAACATTACGCATCAAGTTTAAATACTCAAAACTTTCTACAAGCTAAATCACTTAACTTTATGATAATGAGTAACAACAATAAGAAACACAAGTGGTCGGGGAATGATGAGAAATGACAAGTTTCTTTTCAAGCACACTTTATTTCTTGGGCTTTCTAATTTTTTTCTTTCTAAATTTAGTATCCCGTTATGCCCTGACTATTTTGACCCAACAAACATTTTTTGCATTTAAACCAAGCACTTCTAACCTAACACGGCGATGACTATGAAAAGTACCTAATATGAAACTCCGATACTACTGCTATAATCTTAGTTGTTGATTGTCATAAAAATTAGGCACAAATTTCGTTTTTTCTCACAGTATAGCCAAAAGAAATAGCGACACGTCCCTATTCGACTGACTCATGTAAGACGACTTAAGTTCTGCCGAGGATACATATACGCATACGAGTTACTCTTACATTAGCGCCCGTCCCGTTTTGCCCTGAACCTAGTTCTGCTCCGGCCTCCCCTAGGGGTTGTAAAAGTTTATTGTTTGTGAAAGCTAAACAGGTCATTCGCATCCTCATGCGGAGCCTTTTAAAGGAAAGTACTACCCGCATCTCTTGGAAGTAATTATGTACAACTAAGAAAAGTGGAATATTCACAAATAATGAACAATTCCTGTTGTAGCTCTGATTCCAATAAACAGCAAGTAGGTTAGGATAGGTTTTAAGGAAAGGAAAATTTTTGAAGACAACAGTGCCAAAAATTGGCCATTTTAATTTTTATAATTTTAATACACTCAGTGATACCGTCATAATTAAAATGAATCTAAAGACTATTCTCAAGTTAAAATCCATTAAGCTATTAAGCGTGCCAAAGAAATACATACATACACTTGAAAAACATAGTCCTCCTTCTAGTGCAGTCAAGTACAAGGAAATGGTAAATATATCATTATTTAAGTTAAGTATTACTAATACCCAATAAAATAGACTAAAACTTAATAAGTTCACTGACTACAATGTTTTATTAAAAATACAGTTTCAATTGTAATTTCGAAATATACAAATTCCGTCAAAATCTTTTTGCTGTATAACTTCTGTTATTGTGGAAACCATGAATATGTACTTACCGAAATTAGACACATAACATTCATCTATCTCTCCATAACCTTCAGAAACTACTTCCTTGTCCATCATTTGAGCAATCTTTTCTTTGGCGTACATTAAATCATTTTCTAACACTCGCTGCTTTTCAAGAAGTTGCTCAATATGGTTATCTAAATTAATTCTTTCATTTTCCAGACTTCTTACATACTTTTCAGTTTCATTAAGCTTCTCAGTTAAATCCTCTTTAAGTGTATTTTCATCAAGTGGCTGTCGAGTTAAAGACGAAATTCTTTCATTTATTGTGATGCTTTTGTTTCTATTTGAGTGTATACTTGCTGTTAACGCTAATATGTCGTTTGCTTCGTCTCTAAGTTTACCGAGGCATTCTGACAACTCATTTTCTAAATCTACTGACAATTCATTAATGTTCACGTCGACGAGAGGAATTGAATCATCTATTGTTGCCAGAATTTCAGTTACATTAGGTGTTATATGAACTCGCTTTGAACATGAACTTGATGAAAAATGTACTGACAATTTGTCGTCAAAATCGACGGACTTGCTGCTTTGCAAATTTCTTTTTAATATTTCTTCTAATAGTGAATTGTTAAGCTCGTTCTCACATTCAGAAAAATATTTCATCAAGTGTGTCACTACGATACGTAGAATTGAAGTACATTTTCGTAAGTTATCTCTGTAAACCGTAAACAATGTTTGTGTTTTAATTATTTAAATTAAGTGCTACATTTTAAACAAACCTCTCTTGCAAAATATCCAATTCCTCTTGAATAAGACTGTTCTCTTTTAAACTTCGCCTTTTAATAGCTCTGTTCAAATTTCTTATATGTTCTTCTTTCAATTTGGCGATTTCTTTTGTATGCTCAGCTGACATATCCATTATTTTTTTTTCATAATGTTCCGTAAATTTACTTCTAAGTTGTAAAAGTTCAGAAGGCCATTCCTCGTCTTCATCCGAATTTGCGACTAACACCTTTAAAAATAATAATATCATCATGCTGTTGTTATATGGCTAGATATAAATACAATTTGAATTAAATTGAGGTTATTTTCCGATGGTAAGAATTTTTCGTTTACCGACCATAATTTGCATTGATATTTTTAGTAAGCTTGAGGACAAAACAGGGAAAATTTACCGAATTTAAGGGCGCTTATCAGCGAGTACTAATTTGAATTTGAGAGCTTCTTTCTATATTTACTTTTTTTTTCTTATAAATAGCTGTAATGAGAAATTTTATACATTTTTCTGTAATATATTTTCATACAATATCATTTTGGACAAAAGCTGGATTATGGAAAGGCATAAAATATAGAATTAAATCCAATGTTTTAGAGATATTTCAATAAACAAAAGTAAATATTCAGGTGTAAGTCACTCGTATCGGTCTGTAATATACGTTCTGTTCAAAACTTCCTCTATGTTGGTATGGCGTTGTTCGTATCTGTCACTAAATGTTTTTGAAATATTTACGATTTTCTAGAAATTTTAAAAAATATGGGTATTCTGTTAGCAGTGATTGCCGTTTGGTAATTTTATTAAATAGTAAAAAAGCAAATAAACAATAAATAAAATAAATAATTAACGATATCAGTTGATAATACTTAACAGCAAATACCCAAAACAGAAAATTAATNCCGTCCCGTTTTGCCCTGAACCTAGTTCTGCTCCGGCCTCCCCTAGGGGTTGTAAAAGTTTATTGTTTGTGAAAGCTAAACAGGTCATTCGCATCCTCATGCGGAGCCTTTTAAAGGAAAGTACTACCCGCATCTCTTGGAAGTAATTATGTACAACTAAGAAAAGTGGAATATTCACAAATAATGAACAATTCCTGTTGTAGCTCTGATTCCAATAAACAGCAAGTAGGTTAGGATAGGTTTTAAGGAAAGGAAAATTTTTGAAGACAACAGTGCCAAAAATTGGCCATTTTAATTTTTATAATTTTAATACACTCAGTGATACCGTCATAATTAAAATGAATCTAAAGACTATTCTCAAGTTAAAATCCATTAAGCTATTAAGCGTGCCAAAGAAATACATACATACACTTGAAAAACATAGTCCTCCTTCTAGTGCAGTCAAGTACAAGGAAATGGTAAATTCTTTTTTAATTTAAATTTATTGTACATATTATAATAATTGTTAACTATTAAATTATTTTTGAGATCAGAACAGAAATTCGTTGCTTTGGTCCCTATAAACATCTTTTAACCAACTAAAAGAACCCAGTAAGTGTCCACCAGAATTAAATTCTGTACAATTATTATTTATACATATTTTAGCTTTGATAAAGCCTCCCAACAAGAGTCAAAACGTTGGTGTTGGTTCTATAACCAATAAAGACGTTATCACCCTCTTTTGACATTTTCTTCTTTTATTCATACTAGGACTAGGGGAAGAAATAGCGAATTCGATCATTTTAATTACATATAATAAGCACCGTAAATAACAGAAAAAGAGGAAAGTAAAGTGTAATACAGATAGATAGAGGGAAAAATTTAAAAACTGAATCTGAAAAAATTTACAAGGTGTTTCATTTAAAAATCAATTTAAAATAAGAAAGTTGATGGCATCTTCCAGTATAACCGGAAGTGCTACAGCATTAGCATTATTTTATTTATAGAGAACACCCCTAAAAACCTTACTTCCTAACACTTAAAACTTAATTCGAAGTAGTTTCTGAAATATTCTAATAGGCCGTCACCGTAAGACACCCTGTATATATTTGTATTTAAACGCTATCAATTAAAAATTTAACTAGAAAGTTTTTTTTTACATAAATGTATCGTTTCTATTAATTTTATAAAAATGGCAAAATATATGATGAATATTGCTACAATATGAGAAAAAACCAACCTGAAGTACATACTTGAGATAATAAGCTGTTTATTTACAATAAACCTCAACGCTCTTAATTTGGGACTTCTGCTGGGGTAATTAAACCTGAGACTTGCAAATTACTTTCTTAGTCATAATTGGAATACGGATAAAC